TGTGAACTTCCATATACTTTATACTCTGAAAGGAAAATATATTATATAATTCACTGCCATTGGCTTTTCTTCCTCTTGGCAATTTGCTGCTGGCTACTGTCACTGCTATGAAAATACAGTATTGGTGACTATCTTTCTGCAGGTTTACTTCCATTAAACCTTTTCTTTTCAGATTGTAGATTCACATGCTGTTGTGAGAAGTAAAACAGAGAGATCATGCATACCCGTTTCTCACTTTACTGACATGATAACATCTTCCAAAACTGTAGGACAGTATCACAACCAGAAAATTGACATTGCCACAGTCCACTGATTTTTATTCAGATTTCTTAAGTTTCACATGTACTCATTGGTGTTTGCATATATATGTTTTTAGTTCTGTGTAACTTTATCACATGTGTAGGTTCACCACCATCAAGATATAGGACAATCCCATCACCACAAAAGTCCCTCCTGTTGTATAAAGCTTATTTTTAACCACTGGCTTATTCTCTTATAGATAGAAAAGCAATTTTTTTTTAGATTTTTAAAAAAATTTCTATACTAATCCAAATAAAACTTTTTTCTAATTGTAAAGAATTATGCTAGAATTGGGTTTTTTATTTGTTTGTTATGAATACAATTAATTGTGACAGGTAGCCACTGTCCAGAATTCTAAGTCTGGGGGAAAAAAAGAATTCTAAGTCTGAGTTACTCTTTATTATGTTTTAAGCATTCAGTTATGCAACAAGAATCTGATTTATGGTTCATTTTTCTGCTTAAATCACCCGGTCTTTAGGAGTGAGTTAGTTGAACATGCTTATCAAAAACTTAAAATGAAAATAAAGTCATGCCTATATTCTGTAGGTAAGTAAAGACTAAAAGAGAAACCAATGTTTACAAGAGACTTATTTTTCAACTGTTCAAAATTTTTGACATGGAAGAATGAAAGCCTTCCCCCAAAGATCAATAACAAGATAGGCATGCCCATTTTCACCACTAGTATTCAACATTTTACAGGATATTCTAATCAGAGCAATTAGGCAGAAGGAGGGAAGAAAGGGAAGAAGAAAGAAAACAAAAGGCATCCATTTGGAAAGGAAGAAATAAAGCTCTTTTTTTTTTAAGATTTTATTTATTTATGTGACACAGAGAGAGAAGAGGGAACACAAGCAGGGGGAGCGGGAGAGGGAGAAGCAGGCTCCCGGCCTAGCCAGGAGCCCAATGTGGGGCTCGATCCCAGGACCCTGGGCTCATGACCTGAGCTGAAGGCAGACGCTTAACAACTGAACCACCCAGGCGCCCCTAAAACTGTCTCTATTTTCAGAAAACACAATGCTATGTATAGAAAATCCCAAAGAATGCACAATGATTGTGTTCCTTATTGTGTAACCCTGAATAATTAAATAATTTGTGTTTCAGTTTCCACATCTATAAAATGGAGATAATGTTTATCACAGAGAATTATTTTAAAGATTAAGATATAGCTTGTAAAGTAACAAGTACCATGCTTTGACTTTAGAAAGAGTTCAAAAAAAAACTTAGCAACATATTTCATCATTACAATCCAGCTACCAAAATAATCAGTTTAGATAAACAATTAGATTAAGTAGAGGTTCTGTGACCTATCTACCTTTTTCTCTGTAAGACATAATATTAAGAGGATAAAGAAAAACCTGAGGATTTTGTCCCTGTAATGTACATATAACTTCCAGGTTTCTTGAGATTATATATAAATACAGTCTCTTATAGGTAGTAACTTTGATATAAGTTTTTGGTAATGGAATTAATTAAGAGTTCATTTGTGGCCTTTGAGAGTATAGTACCAGTAGAGTAGTAAGGCAGAAATCTGAATATAAGAGTTTCATTTCAGTATGGAGGAACAGAGATTGGGTTTAGACCATTATTTTGAGCAATGATTTGCAAAAAAAAAGAATATTCATTAAATTAAGTAAAAGAGTTAAGCAGCATCAGGGGCCTAGCAAATCATATACTTGTAATATTGACCATCAATACTGCTATAAGATTTCCCTAGCACTCACAGCTTAGGCCAGAGAGTGAAGAATACAAATAGGTAGGAAATCCAGGATTACACATTAGAAGGACATGTGTGGCAGAAGGTTAAGGGGCTTTTTTTCTTTATGTAATTATCCCCAGCTTTATTAAAGTGTAATTGGCAAATAAAGGTGTATGTATTTAAAGTCTGTAATGTGATGATTTGAAGTGTGTGTGTGTGTGTGTGTGTGTGTGTGTGTGTGTGTGTGTGTGTGTACCCATTCCATGAAACTGGTTGCTATCAAGATGGGAGGAGTTGATTTCATCTAGCAAGAAGTAAAAGAAGGAGGAGGAGAGGAAAGGAGATTAAAATAAAAATGGGCTGGCTAGCTGGCTGGCTCTGTCAGTGGAGAATTTGACTCCTGATCTCAGGATCCTCAGTTTGAGCCCCATGTTAGGCATAGAGTTTACTTAAAAATTAAATTAAAATTTTAAAAAATGAGAATGATGGACTGTCCACTAGTCTACTGGTCATGCAGTGAAGACATGTTTCCCTGCAAAAGCAGCTCAAGCATGGGAAGGATATTCTGAAAACAATTTCCCCAGTTATTTGATGTTCAGGCCATTACAGCTCTCCAAGGTTGTTGAAAACATTTTGCCTAGCTCAGTCCCTCAATAACTATTTTAACTTGAGAAACAGAATTATTAACAGGTCCTTTGGGGATGCTACATGCACAACTCCTGGGGGCACCATTTCCATCTTAATCTATCTGAACAGAGCCCCTTGGAGTCATTCAAGATGGCAACCCTGCAGGACCCATCCTTCCCACATAATTCCGTAAGGGTCAACAAGGAATATCATCAGTTCCTTAAGGTATGGTAGGTAAGGTAGTGTAGAGAGGCTCTGCCACTTCAGTCCTCCCAGGAAAAGAATGCAAGGTAAAGAGCCCTTAGGATTGCTTCTCATGGTGAAGTAGCTTATTTGCCTCAGCTTTGCCCCGCTGAGGGAGTGAGTAGTGTTGGTATAATGTAGGGGAAGCTGGAGGTTCCCAGCCCTGGGTGGGAGTCACTTAAGCCCACTTGCTCCTTGAGACTTTTGGAGCTCAATGGAAGGATCTGGAATTCCTTTATTACACTATCTTTCAAACTGAGGTTCAGGTGGTAAGCAATTAAGACCTCTGACAGGTGACTTTTCATTGGAAATGCATGATAATAAGGGAAAATTTTTAAAGAGAAAAAGATCACCTGCAATTCCATTTTCCTCACATAAGTTTTAGTTTTTGCATAAATGCTGTTTCTCCATTCCTTGCTTGCATACTCATATATTTTACGTGGATGAAACATACTCTACATATTTGTTGTATATGAAAATTTAACGTGTCATATTAATAGCACAGAAATGTTAATGGATAACACTGATGTGATTTTGAAAAGCATTTAAATAAAATTTCTAGTTTCTTTCATAAAATCAATAATATAGATTTGTGGTCTCTGAAACAGTAGTCACTAGCCAGCCACACATGGCTAATGAGCATTTGAAATGTGACTAGTCTGAAATGAGATGTGCTATGAGTGTAAAGTACACACTGGATTTTGAAAAAAAGCATAAACTATCTCAATAATTTGTATTGATTACATGTTGAAATGATACTACTTTGGATATATTGGTTAAAGAAAATATATTATTAAGGGGCGCCTGGATGGCTCAGTCGGTTAAGCGGCTGCCTTCAGCTCAGGTCATGATCCCAGAGTTCTGGGATCGAGTCCCGCATCGGGCTCCCTGCTCAGTGGAGAGCCTGCTTCTCCCTCTCCCTCTGCCTGCCTCTCTGCCTACTTGTGCTCTCTCTCTGTCAAATAAATAAATAAAATCTTAAAAAAAAAAAGAAAATATATTATTAAAATTAAGTTCACTTGTTTCTTTTTACTTTTAATGTGGCTACTAGAAAATTTTAAATTACATATGTGGCTTACACTTTATTTCTATTAGACTGCACTGATATAGATTATATACAGCTATGAGATCATAAAATTTGAAAAAACACTAAAACTACAACAATAAGGGAATGGTTAAGTCATCTTTGGTATGCTTACTAGGTACAATATTGTGCAGCCTTGATAATTATAAACCTATGGGTGATGTGGCAAAAAAATATATATGTAATATTAAGGAAAGTATGATATAAAGTTATAGATATAAAGTTATGATATAAAGTTATAGATATAAAGTTATAAGTATGATATAAAGTTATGGTTTCAAAAAAAAAAACCTAAAAATTTTTCCTGTATGCTAACATGTTAACTAGAGGTATGTTCAGGAGATAGGATTACAAATGAAGTTTTCTTCGTTTTCAAACTTAAAAGAATGCCTTTGTAATCTTTTTTACACTGAAATTTATTAAGCCATAAAACTTATTTTTTATTAAAAAAATTACTGGTAACACTGACTCACAGACTTAGATCAAGATAAGTAAGGAGAATGGTGTGTTATTGTTCTCAAAGTGGTACTGTGGAGAAAGGAGCAAGCCAACTAACTATATCTTCACATCTCCCCCTGTTCAGTGGGAGTGAAAGAAAGCAAAAATCCCAAAGGCAGGATGATTGATAATATATATTGTGTTTGTAAATATATATTGTGTTTGTAAATATATATTGTGTTGTAAAGGGATGAAATAATGAAGGAGGAGCATTTACATCTTTTACCACTTTGTAAAGAAAACGATTAGAAAACTGAATGTAAGATCTTTTAAAAAAAAAAATTAAAGGTGTTGGGGCGCCTGGGTGGCTCAGTCATTAAGCGACTGCCTTCCGCTCAGGTCATGATCCCAGGGTCCTGGGATCGAGCCCCGCACTGGGCTCCCTGCTTGGCGAGAAGCCTGCTTCTCCCTCTCCCACTCCCCCTGCTTATGTTCCCTCTCTCACTGTCTCTCTGTCAAAAAATAAATAAAATCTTTTTAAAAAAATTAAAGGTGTGAAAATGATTTAATGTGTTTAAATGCTTGATCTTGCTAATTTTTTTTCATTTATAGATTCATGGTGTTGCTATCCAAAGTGGAGAAATCATCAGAAGAAATCATAGAAATAATGCAAAACTTAAGCAGTATAGAGGTTAGCTTTTTTTTTTTCCTTTCGGCATATAAATTTTCATATGTCTACCACTCCATTTGAAAAAGGAAAATAGGGAAGAAGCCCCAGCATGGAGAATCCAATCCAGAAAAGAATTTGCAGAGAATATGTCTAATTTACTTTTCATGGGAATTCCTTTTCTCATATGAACATGAATTAACCATAATATTTTAGTAACATCTGACTTTTTCACATTTTAAAGCTTGCAGTAGTTGACCTGCCAGAAAAAGTTAAATTTCCTACCACAAAATTTTTTTCAGATGAAAAAAACAGTAAACTGTATTTTCACTAGACTTGTCAGTAATATTATATTTGTAGAGAACTTAAGTCATTTATGATGTCTTTCTTTTAGGCTTTGGAGGGCAGTAGAGAGCTTGAAAATCTCCTTGGTATCTCCCGTGCATCATGTTTCTTACCAAGAGAAATGCAGAAAACAAAAGAACTAAGTAAGAAAAATTCATGAGTTTTCAATGGCATCTCTCCATTCTTTATTTGTAAATGTAAATATATATTCTAATGTTTTCAGTTTTAGAGATAAACCTAATAATTTTTCCCAAATTTAAATCTGATAAGCTTTTTTATATATGGCACTACTGGACATGTAATGGAAGTATTATTTAGAGAATAAGAAGCCATATATCTTTTACCAGGATATGTTACTTCAGGGATTCTTGTTGAATACGAAGGAAAACAATATGCCTTGCAAACTGATAATCAGGCTTCTTAAAAATCTGGTGCTCGTTCTTTAAATAAGATATAATAAAATACTGCATTTTGTACTTGATACCTGTATGTATTACTTCAAATTATTTTTTTCTTATGAAGTTATCCCAGGATGAGAAACTATTCATATTCCATGCTAATTCTTAACATGAGTTGTTTTGTTTTGCTTTCGGGGTTTTTGTTTGTTTGTTTTTTAGTGAAAAAAGTAACAGAACAAAAACTGTTTGAAAAGAAGAGTTCGGGACCTCCCAACAAAGGTAAAGAATTGTGTTTTCATTTATATAAAAAGATCCTTTCATCTCATTTCACCATTGAAAACTAATCATCATGAGTTTTTTAGTGTGATCTTTTTAAAAGATAATAAATCTCATTTGCAAACCTTATACTAATTTGGCAGACCATGTCTGATAAGATAACTTCCCTGAGGATTAAACTTTAAAATATCTTTTGAAATACAATTTTCAGTTTAAGATTTAAATTTTGTCTTTTTATTAAAAGTTCTTCTTGAGAATATAGACAAATAGGGGGAACAATGCATTAATATATAGCAACTTTTAATGGTGAATTAGGATTACACAAAGCATAAAAAGTTACTTTGTAACCAGTGTTCTGAAAACTTTCAGATCATTAATGATGTTTGATCTACTGTGAACTCATATGCCTCTGAGCATTTCACAGTATGGGAAACTAAATTAGCAGGTTTTCCCATAACACATGCACATCCATACCTCAGTAAGCAAAATGATCATGGACTGTAAAATATTAAAACCTTTAGACCAACTTAAGAGGGATCGTTTTAATATTACTGACATGAATGCCATTTTGCAATCTTTGCAAGTGAAGGTAGGCCTTTAAATGGGTTTTAGTCTACCATTTTTGAGTACCAATGACTACCATTTATTGAGGACCAGTAATTACTATGTTCTCAACACTAGGATCAGCAGATCTTTATAGCAACTCTGCAAGATAGCTTGTTATCATTGTCATTATAGATAAGGAATAAAGACAAAAAATGTTAAGTAACTTGCCCCAAAGACACTGCTACTAAAGTGTCAGAGTAGAGATTCCAACTAAAGACCAGTCCAACCTCAAATAGTATGGTTTTTTCATTGTTCCATGTTGCCTCTTCCTATAACAAATTAAATCATCTAGTCATCCCAGTTTTTAGATTCAGACATGAGGCATAACTGAAACCATCTCAACCAATCTAGTATATTAGACTGTATTTAGGATCTTTAACAAGCCAGTGTGATGAGTTTGCAGTGGAAAGTGCTGGGATTCCCTGTTACTTCCAAAGGCCACCTGGGTAATGCAGGGAAACAGCCCTGACAGGATCCTCCAAAGTTCATGTGGGAAGAGAGCTGAGCAGGTTTCCTGAGCCATTCAGTAGAGCAGCTAACTTCCACTGTGATCCCAAGAATTTAAGAATATGAAGTTAGCTCTTAGAAAAAAGAAAGGCTTAAGATCTCTTCTCTCCTATACCGTGAAACTTGATTATAATGTGTAGCTGAGTTTCAGTGGTTTTTTTTAACTTGACAAGTTTTAGAGAATCATAATGGGAAATTGGAATGTTTATTATTTCCAAACCAGAGGAAATCTTTCTTCTATATATTCTGTGCCAGTGGTGTGAATTTTTTTTCAATCTGTAATTTCCTAGAATTGACTAGAATTAGGCGTTACAGAGTTGGCTTTCACCAAGTTTTGAGAAATGAGGAAGAGAAAATTGTAGAATAAGTGGATCACTTTAATAATGAGAAAAAATGTTCCGAAAGTATTGTTTCCTTCCCTAAACATTTATTAAGACGTTAAAGTTATATTCCGTGTGTTAAAAGTTATCTCCTTTCAGTTATCTAGTATGTACCAATTCTTTGTGTGTTTATGCATGACCAGCCTTAAAACTATTTTCTAGTATTTTAGGCATTAAAACTGACTTGCCCATTACCAGGTTTTCCCTAAGGGCTTAGTGTTTATTCATGCATAAAAGAGATCCTATGACTAAATTATGTTTTAAAATTTCTAATAAGCATTGATTATTTGTTGTGGTTTAAATGAAAACTGAATTTAGATAATTAAAATATGTGATAGCTGTAAAAATATATATTAGAATATATGTCATCTTCCATTTCTGTTTCTTGGTAAGAGCTGCATTAGCTTTTATATTTCCTGAGATTTTTAGATTTTCATTAGCTTTTCCACTAATTTTTTTTAAAGTATTGTTGCCTGAAAAATCTTTTGAAGGTTGTTTCCTTTATAATTTGAGTTTGAGTGTTTTTACTGAGTGTTTTTCTCTCTTCTCTTTCTGGTTCATAATATATGTATTTTTTTATTTTGGTGGTTTTGTTTTGTTTTTGATTAAAGATGATGCACGTCAACACATTTTTATATATATAATTTTTTGCTGAGTTAATAACTTTCAACACTTTTTATTTATACATTCATTTTACAAGGACTTTGCTAGTGTTTTTGACATCTCAAACTAACTTGCTTTATACATTCCTTATTTGCGGATCTAGCCTTCAGCTTTTTATAGAAATTTCTACTTTACTCCTTTCTTTTACTATGCTGTTATTCAGAATTGTTTAAATTTAAAAATGTTTGGGGAATCTTTGTAATATTAGAAATTATATAATATAAAAATAACTCCCATAATATGTATGGGATTTGTTTTATTAGGTACTTAATGAAAATAAGAACAAATTACTTGTTTCACGATCAAAAGAATATCCTTCAAATTCTCATAAAATTTTCCTAGAATAGTTAAAATAGACAGTATCAGGAAAATTCCAACATTTATGCTGTTGTTGCCTCTTCAAGTCGGTCCCCTAGTTCTATTTATTTTTCCATGTCACTGCTAGCTTGTTTAGCATCAGTTGCAGTCTTTATTACAGGCAGAGCAGTATAATTGTAAAAATAACATGCTAGTGTTTTAAATAAATAGACATCTGACACACATTCTTAAGGCTTTATGTAACATTCCAGGGGAAATTAAAACGTACACAATAACATGAAAAGGTACACTGAAATTTTCATAGTTTTCAAAAGAACTGGACGTGGCAAATCAGAGAATGCTTTGATAGAGTATATGAATAAATAAAAGAGTCTCTCCCCTGCTAAATACAAATTTCTTAAACAAAGGAAGGCTTTCTTTCTCTTTTCAGTTACTTAGGAAGGAAGCCTAACTTTACTTTCCTTAATAATATTGGCTTTATGACTCTTAGAAAAATAATGAGATGAAAGGTCCTTTTTCTGTTAGATTTGGATGTGAATTTCATAATTATTCTTAATTTGTTATGCTGAAGATTTAAAACATGACCATTCAATGGGTTGATACAGATGGAATGTCACATTATCATCACATGGTAAGGCATGAAATTTATTTACTTTACATAATCAACCTCTACTTAAGACAACTTGATACAAATATTCCTAAGTCAATAGATGGCATTATATAGTACTTAGTATTTTCATTTTTTCTGGAAATATTAAAAAATACCATCATTGTTTGTCTATGACCAGTGCTTCCAGTAAACAAAATGTTTTTGAAAAGAATGTAAGCAAATTGTTGCCAAGATATGAAATCTAGACACTTAGCTTTAGTCCAAAACATATTTTATCTGTTTTGAGAATCATTGTGTAGGTTGCAGTATGCATATTTGAGATGAAATGTAACCATCTGAACTTTACATTGTTCAAAAAAGTTGATTGTCTCAGCTGTTTGTAATATAAAATATTTCAGAATTTTAGCTGTGGCCTTCAAAAGAGAAGCCCAAACTGTAACATTTCTGTTTTCTTTAACTAACTTACTGTCTTACATTGTAAAATTCATCTGGGTTATAGGATTTTAAAGTTTTTCAAATTCTTGGACTACAGGACAAATTTTAAGCTCTTTCTGTTCTAAGATTATAAAATAGTTTGATACTGCCTTTTCATTCTAACCACCCACAGAACTATTTTTTAACTTAAAAATATGTTGTTCTTTCCCCCACTCAGTCTTGAAAAAGTATTTATCATATCGGCCAAATAATTTTACTCCCTAGAAGACTACTACCCTTTTAGTTTTTTATATCTTAACATTAAACAGTATCTTTTTTCAAACAAATACTTTGGTTTTAAGAGCACTGAAGTTTGAAGTCTAGACATGATGAGTTTTAGAAGAAACAACAAAAATTCCTACCTGTGCCTTATGTTCTTGGTTTATCTGGAGATAAAAAAATGGAGATATTAGTTTTGGTGACAAATCTACATTAATGTACAACTGTAGTCCTTAGCTCTTTAACAGAATTCACCTATCATGTATGTTGTACGTGGTTCATACCTTTCCTATTAATAATGTTAATGCCCTTGTCTCACACTATTCATCACGTTTTGGGGATACATTTTGACGGCTTACTTGAGATTTGTCTAGGATTTAAGGAAAAACAAACTGATTTATTACTTTTCAAAGTCTTTTAAATAATTTCTTCCATGATTTAAATTTTTGTATACTTCTCTAGAAGTATGATCATTTTTATCTTTTAAATAATCAGTAAAAAAAATTTAACCATAGATTTGAACTCACTTAGTAGCAATTATGTGTTTAAGAGGTGTAAATAACTTGCTATCAGACATTAGGAATATCCAGGTGCTCTGTATGTGCTGATGACAACAAAATTGAAACGAAAGACTGTAATAATTCTGACTGGTTTTCTCTGCAGAAGATATTGATTATTTGTGTGTGGTGAGAGATTTGGAAAATTCAATTAAAGGAGTTGTGCAAAGGTTTCATAAATTTTCCTTCTACAGCATGTACACAGACATTGTTGCGTATTAAATCAATGTAGCACTTCACAATATATTTTCTTTGAAACATAAAAATAAATAACATTTAAACAGTTCTGCTTACTACAGAAACAAATTTTATTTTCTGTGAGGCATTTAGTCATGTGCTATCACTGACTCATCCACATTTGCCAGCTGTAACAAATTTTATAGACATTTTCTCCAGAGACATATCTCACATGCTATGAATTTTTAAATGAGCAAATGGTGAAGAAGGGATGTCAGCAATATAAAAATTGATCAGTTAAAAGATAAAAGCATAAGTAAAGAGATTTGTATGGTAGTCTTAATAGGTTTTATTAAATAAAAATACTATAAAAAGACAGTAATGAACAGACTGAAGACTAACCGTTCTTGAGCTGGAGAAAAATTATTCTGGCACATTTAGTAGAAATTGGTTTTATGTCACCTGACAGGTGAATATTTTTTTTCCCCTTTTTAACTCTTAGAGTAGTCAGAAAAGCTCCTCAAAAAAGAGATGAATTTTCTAAGTGGTTTATGTATCAAACACATATCTAGAATAATAAAGCAGATACTTATAGTGTTATACAGCTAATTATATGGTTAAAAGCAAGACTTCTGTAAAAGGTATTAGGTGATTTTTCCTCCAGCTCACACCTCACTCAGGAGGAAAGGAGGCATTTGAATGCATACTGTTTGCCCCATGTGACTCCAGCCCTCTGGAGTCTCTCTCTGTGAATTCCAGGTCTCTCTCCTGCTTCTCTCTCTACCTGGATTGCTCTTTCCCCCATGTTTGTCTAGTAAATTCCTGCTCATTCTTTAAGGGCAGCCTCAGATGTCACATCCTCTGTGAAACTCTCCCCAGCTCCCTAGGTAAAGCTAAATTGCTTCTTCTGGCCTTCTACAACACTTGTCTGAATGTTTATAAATGTATTATGTTGTAGTATTGTAGTATATTGTAATTGTCCAGTTACAGGGCTCCTTCTGGGCTCCTCCTTGGCAAACAAACAAGAGCTTACCTAATATAGAACCTGATAGAAGGTCCACAAAGCATGGTCAATGAATGAGTAAAAACAAATGCCACTCTAAGAATTTTTTAAAGGAACTTAAATATTTTCAAATACTTATAAATCACAATCTCCTTACATGCCTCATCCGTTTAATATTTACTGAATGCCTACTATGAGCCAGGCACCATTCTAGCACTGGAGGTACAGTAGTGAACAAGGTAGACATAGTCCTGCCCTCAGGATTGTAGAATATGTCACAAAAGACAATTATAATAAAGCATAAGCATACATTATAATGATAAGTTTTTTGGCACTTTTTGTCCTAAATTCTTAAATGTACATTCTGAAACAGAATTGGGCAAATCAGTAAGATGTCAAAATGAGAATTTATAACTCCAAAGCTATTTATAATGTAAAATAAAATTTTAGGTTTAGGTTCTTTAATTTCATTTGATTAAGCATTTATTCTACATCATATACTGTGAATACTGTGACAACTTACTTTGACTTGTTTTCTGAAAAAAATCTTTTTTTCTTTCTTACAGAATTATATCATCTTGACAGCTATGAATTCCTTAAAGGCATTTTAAACCGAGGTAGGGTTTCACCATTCTAATTAAGGTTGGCCTTGTTAAATTTCACTGTTTTGTTCAGGTGGAAACATTTTATTTATATTATCAGATTTGGTACTGTCTATGAATAAAATAGGGAGTGAGCTTTGGAGGTGTTTTTGAAATTATATTTAATCTATTTTTATAAATAATAGGACAGTCTGACAAGTTGTATGAGAGGCTGATTGAAAAGAACTATTGAGCTCATTAGCCTAGCTTTAAAAGTCAAAAAGCTCATATTTTTAGGTAAGTGTATAGAGGGCTCTTGATTTAGCACCTTTAGTATAAATAACTAACTAGGTACTGATAGGTGAGTTATAGTTTCTGTAGGACACATGTAACTGAACAAGATATAACAATTCTATGAATTTGGAAATGTGCTGAATTAAGTAAATAATTATATATTAATTAGTGTATCTTTCCTTCAGAACAGTTCCCTGTAGATTCAGCAATATAAGTAAAAATGATAGATTTATAACTAGCTTATTAGAACATATTAGCTAGAAGCAATATGAGTCATAATGTGATATTAGCGTCTAACGTGCCTGTAACTGAAAGTTCGTGTTAAGAACTAGCCTACCCCAGACTTAGTGGCATCAATATTAATTAAGATTCTTAGAAGCTAACCAGATGTTGCCTACTATCTCTTAGAAAAAAATTAAGGCAAAATAAATTCTATACTGAAAATACTTTTCTTTGGAAATGGTATTTCAAATGATTAGTATTAGCTTCCTGTTTTTAAAAATATTTGCAAAGCATCATATATACAAAATTGTGTCACTTTTCATTCATTAAAATGTTTATTCTGTTGTATGCAGCAAATAATAGTTTATAATAATAGCTGACACTTATTAGGCACTGTCAACATGCCAGGTACTATAATAAGCACTTCATACAGATTCCAGTCAACCTTTTTAACAACTTACGTGATATATAGTTATTGTCTTTATTTTATAGGTGAGGAAACTGAGACACAAAGAGGTTAGTAACCTTGTTCTAGTATTACCTCAGAGACAAAGCCAGGATACTAACCTGAGTAAGCTGGTACCAGAGTCTTTGCTTTGCCCACTCACAATAGTAAACTGTGAGTGTCAGGTTTCACTGCTGGTCAGAGGTTTTAGATCCTATGAAATAGTAAGGACCTAATATATATACATACACACACGTACTCATTATAGGGTTAAACATTTTGTACAATTTTGGGTCCATGGCAGTCCAACAAACAACTATTAGAGGGCGATCATAAATACATAGTTAGAGTTATACATCTGGCTAATAACATACACATTTAGTATATGATGGTCATTCATAAACTTTGGGGAACTTAGGGCACTGAATATAGCTTTGTGTTCCTGGATTCTAAGAAAGATTAGAATATTAAGGGTGTTCTTCTGAGTCTTTAATATGAGTAGTACTTAGAAAAAACTTGCAAGAATGAAGGTTGACCTACCACTCAACTTCCCTTTTAGTGGGAAGCAGTGGAGAGAAATAACAATGAAATGAAACTGGACTAAACCTTTGAGGCATTTCCCTGGGTTCTTTTGACTGTGTTTTCTTCTTTCTTTGGGCGCTTTCTTCATGATCTCACCCATTCCTTGACTTTAGTTCTCACCTTAGTGCAATTTATGGTTTCCAAATCCATTTTTGACACTCTGTAAACCCACAATATCAGCTGCCATATATTGTCCCCCAGGTACCCTGATTTCATCATTTCCCCCCAGATTTCTTCCTCATTCTACCTTTCTAGGGATTACATTCATCCAGTGATAAGGCTCAAAACCTCAAAATTTTGTCCCTTTTTTGTGCCCCCATGTGCAACTGCTGCCAGGTCAGATAACTTCTAAAAATGTTTACCTCTCCCTTCCATGCCCCCAGCACTAGTTTATTCCTTCATGACCTCTCGTCTGGATTATCATCCTCACTGTAACCTGCCTTTCTGCCCCTTGGTCCTTCTTCCCTACAGCCTGTCCTGCTACTGGATAAATCACTCTACCATATTCACAGTAAAATCCAAATTTATACTAACATTCAGAACTCTCCCTAATGTGACCACAGCTTACCTGGATAAATCACTTGGTTAACAAAACTATGAGGCTTAGTATAAACATAGCATTTGCACAATGCCAACCTTTTAAAACCTAGTCATCAAGCTAAAGATACAAGATTTATATTCTGTACATGAAACGATAACAATATAAGGAAAGCTATGAAGAGCAATACAAGTTCAGAACCCTCTTTCCAGGATTCTGGCAATAGCAAGCACAAAAAACGATGAGTCCATTTAGGATCAAAGTTTCAGCTTGATTAGTGGAGGAACTGATAACCTCTAACATGGCAGGCCCTCTGGCAGAAGCTTAGGGTAACTAATATGGAGTGTGCCTAAGGCAGAAGTGGAACCTCCTCTCTCCCACACTGAGTCTAAATCTTGAACTCTTTGAATCTCAATCTTGAACCTGAGGAGAAAGCTGGATCTTTGAAATAAACCCCATGTCCCTGTGCCTCTACAATAGAAAAGACCACAGACCTACCTATGCTTGATTGCAGATGAGATCAACAGAATGGGCTGGTCTCCTTACAGCATGAAATTAGGAAGCACAGGACCCATTGGACTTGAGAGTAGACAGGGAAATGGTGTTGCATAAGAAGAGTGACATTTAATATTACTAGTAAAACATGGATCGATGTTCTGGACTTTGACCAGTCACGTTTGTCACTCCTCCATGGGGTAGAGAGAGCAGAAGAGTTGACAGTTCCTTCCTCTTCAGACTAAGGAGTATAAACATTCCTCTCTAAGAACCAAATGAAGAATAAGCAATAGTATAGGAATACACAACAGACATAGATCACCTCAGGATAGAGTGATTAGGTCATTATTTAAGAGTTCATGATTTTACAATAATTCTAGTTATTCCACTCTGCATTATCTCTGACAGAGGACCATCCAGAACCTAGTAATGGAAACTTTGTACTTTACTAGGAAGTTTGAATTTGAGAAAGGGGTCATTTTGATGGGCTGTATAAACATACTAAGCAGAGAGAACAACATGAACACAAAAGGCAGAAAAGCAGAATGACTGAACAAGTAGGTTTGACCACATCATTGACAATTATGATCACCAGGCTTAATCAGTTCAGACTTTATTCATTAGGCAGAAGTAGACCAGTGAAGATTATTGGGGAAGTAACAATCCAAAATATGTTTTAGAAAGAACATAATTGCTTTATGAATGATAATTCCTGTCAAAATACTGCTCATGAACTGCATCACTATCTCTAAATTGCTTTTTGTGTTCTGAGACATTCATCTCCAGAACCAGTTAGGCAGTGTAGAAATAATATACATGCTACTGTATTCTTGTGTTGTGACATATATCACATTGATCACAGTCTTTATTTTTGCTGGATCCTGAATTTGGCATCAGAATCTTTCTCAACACACTTCTAGCAGTCCTGATCAGTTGATGAAACTCCTTTGCATGGTCTGGCATTATAACAGAGGACAGGATTTGGATTACATGTCCAGCACCAGCTCTGTTATCTACTTAGCTCTGTGGCCTTAACAAGGAACTTGGTTCCCCTAAACCTTAATTATAAAATGGGACTGATATTTACCTTGTGGGATTGTACAAAATAAACTTAACTAGCACCTCCCCCATAGTAACTAATATAGTCTTACTTTCCTATATAGTATTGTCATTAGTTCTGATAACTGTGTATCAGTAGCCTATAGGGATATTAAGTGAACACTAGAGTGCTTAAAATCTTCTATAGGAATCCAGACCTGACTCAAATTGGCAAGAGTTGGTGGTTGTCAAGTTGGCAACCTACCTTCTTCTAGGAAAAGAATATGTGGACTCCCATGAATAGGGAAATATAGGAGCCTACCATGCATTACTTCTTAATAGCTGCCAAGGTAAGTATGGAAGGGGTATTTCAGGAGTGAAAGGTCCACGAGCCCTATGGGAAATATGCCATCACTTGCCAATGGCTTCTAAACCAAACGACAAGAACTTCTGCCACCACTAGGAGGCCCCAGAGGGACATGCTCTGAATAGGAATGCCAGTAAATACAGTCTCTTTTTTTGGGGGGCAGCTGTTGGAGGAAACACCTGCTGAAAGGCCCTTAAGGCTTACAGACAAAAGGCATGTAGATTTTGGTGTTTTCAGCAAGTAGGTCATGTAGGAGTTTTAGAAATCTCTCAGAAGTATCTCAAGATCGATCTAAAGTGAAGAGTGTGATGTCTGAGTAGCCCTATTGACAATTATTTGTGAAGGTAAATCTTGTTAGAAGACCCAAAAATAAGCAAATGAGAGATTACCAGTATCTGAACTAGGTACCAAATTACATGCTAAATGGGTTGTTTAAATCATTTAAGTAGTGTATGAGATGCATGTTAATTTGGGAACTAATTCTTGATTTAATAATCATCTTTTATATCCTGCAGGCATTTAAAAGAAATGCACTTACTGTGAACACCAACTTCTTCTGCATCTGCCTGATCGTATTTAAAGGAACAGAAGAAATGTTTGTAATTAATCTGCCCAGTAAATACCAGATCATAGCACTAGGCAGGTGCGTGTCTAGATAAAATTTCTTGCAGCTAATTTAAACTTTCTACATACACCAGTAGATAATCTCAATGTAAATAATACATTTCTTCTCGACCCTTTAATGTAAGCCAACATGTAGAAGAGGATATTAACTTCTATTCTGTATCACATACACTTCTGTATCCTTTTAGCATTTGTGGACAGATTTAAAGCATTTATGAAGATGGCATTTTGGTAAAATGTTTTAAAACTCAGATTAAATTTAATGGTGAGTGGAATTAGGTACCACTTTCCCATGTAAAGCCCCAAGTGTGTATTAGATTTTTTTTTAAACTTCTAAAATTTTTCTAGAAGTTTATTGTGTAGCCACTATCTTAGGGATGAGTTTTTATACTCTAGTTATTTCTATGCTTATACAGAAAAACTATATTCAAAGTTTTAAAATTTTTACACCTTTTATAAAATGCATTTTTCAGTACAAATATATTTTTAAATATGAAGTTGTTCTTAAACTGAACTACACAGACTCTACTGAATTTAAAGAAAGACCTTTTTTATGGGGTATATGATCACCTGCAAATTATTTTGAAGCATTAATTTAAATTTCTATTTTTCTGTGGTGTTATTTTGTATCATCCTTGTTCTATCACAAAATAAAGGGGAAGTGGGAATCACAGGATATGTTATAAATTAATAACATGTTTTTTTTAAAACCTCTGTATTTTTCTTTGACCATCTCTACAGGGGAAAAAATACTGTGCCCTTGGTACTTGCCCTAAGACTTGACAAAATTTGTATATTACTGTGTCATGTAAATAAAAATACTATATGAAAATCTGAAATAAAATTTAACTTAGGTTTGAAAATAACTGATTTTCCATTTAGATAAACTTCAGATTTACCTCTTAAAATGAAAATGAGTTTTTAAAAACTATTAAATGACATCAATTAACTATTAAACCTAATTCCCTTCACTAATGATTTTATTGGTACTATTTAAATAAGATTTTAAAGATAATCTGTCTGCTAAATACTAAGAACACTTTGTGATACAGACCTTATAATAGGCCATTACCTAAATATACCAAAAAGGCTAATTCCTTTGTTTTCTAGCATTGAAAACTAACCTTAGGATGTAAGCCAAAGCATATAAAGAAACTTGTATTAGTCAGGAAAAAAAGGGTTAAGAAATAGATTGGTTGCATATATAACGCAAGTTATGTGGGTATGTGCTTAATGCTATTAAGTCAGTTACTGTATGTTTGACCTCGATACACTAAGCTTTTGCCTTTCAGAACAGCTGGGTCTGCTAAGAATCATTTCCCAGTTCTCTTCATTGTAGATCAGATGACTCTCGCTTTATCACCCTTGGAGGCCACATGAAGGACAAAGCAGAAAGATCCACACACAAAACTAATGTTTATATGGCGGGGAGGGGGGTATGGCATGGAGGAAGGTGGGGGGGGCGGATACACTTGGCCCTGATCTTCCAATGAACATAACAGAAGAGACCAATTGAGACTTGAAACCCCTGTGTTACTCTAACCATTATTTAGTTACATCCTATCCATCTTTTACTCTTTCTATTGAACAGAGAGGCTCCTTTGGCTGCCTTGACTTTTGTAAATGTTTCACTCACTTAGTTGTGGTTTATCATTTGGACAGAATGCTACATCTGGGATTTTTCTCCCCTCCTTAACGCCTCAAGGGAAAATGGCTTCTGTATGCTTCATATTTGATACATGAACATACACCCTGTTCTCTTCATTTTAAGAAGCAAGCCTAAGTTTGTTGGTAACAGAGAAAACTGCATTGCTCAGAAACAGCCCTTCCCTCTAAAATGAACTTGAAAAACTTGGAAGGGTTCATTCCTTGACAGGTATATTAGCAAAGTAACTGAGAAATCTTCAATATTTTTGCATTACCTAAACATCTTTATATTAAAACATCCCAATAAGCCTGAGTGTAGCTGAGAGAAGTACTTTGGAATTGCCTGTTTCTGTGATCTTAATTCATCAATGGACATTTTTGGTATTTTGGAACCTAATCCTTCAAAGTTCAAAGTGGACTCTTCTTAAATTGGTTTCTAATGGATATAAGAGATAATTGACTTATAAGGTAATTGCTGCAGGTCTCCATAAAAGCTACAGTGTTACTCAATATGATTAAATTTCTGAGGAAAACGTGTATTTAGAGGATTTGTGTTTAAGATACCTTGAATATGGATGCGTTCTACTTTATCATTTATATGATATACTTTTATTTTCAAATAATGTTTCTCTGCTCCAGTTATTTAGAAGCTAGGACTTCCTCATCACTGATTTAAACCAGCATCCTGTGTTAAACCCATGTATGCTATTACAAAAAATAAAAAAATAGGACTATACCAGGCAGCCAAGATGCTGACATTTGGGCACAGTGATTACAGATGGTGACCATGGACAGCGATGTTCCTGCTGATTCGGCAGTGATTCAAGGCTGCTTTTCTGTGCTGACCTGCCCTTTGAGTCTTTATGCACATTTGCTTTGAGAAAGAAATACTTCCTGATTTTTGCTTTGTCTAAACCTACTTCCTTTATCAGACTTAGAAGCACATACCTTCTTGCAGCCTGTGGCTGTCCATGCCTAGAACCAGATTTTCTTTGTGTATATATGCTCACTGTTTTAAAATATATCACCACTTAGTCAATATATGTTAATGGATGTCTTATGAAAGAAAAATATTCATTAAAAACCATAGGTTGATGTGAAAATAATTTTTATTCTTAACACAGAGACTAAAGAGAACACATCTTTTTTTTCCCCTGCCCTCCCAAAAGAACAATCTTTACATAAGAAATTATAACATAGATATGACATTTTTACCAATTGAATATGATAGTAAAGATGAGCTTCTCCTAATATAGAATGATACGTTATTAACAGGGCCAAGTTAACACGAAACATGATACGAATCAATGCTTATGGAAGTGGTAATCTTGAACCACTCAAAAAAGATCAAAAGGATGAAATCTTGTATAAAACCATTTAACTTACAAAGAATGATCCTAGAAGTTTAGAACTAGTGAACATGAGTAATTAAAAAAAAAAAAATCAAACCACTTAAATTCAGTAAAATTCACTGTCTAATTGTATTAAAGTTAATTAGCATTTTTGGAAATAAGAACATGGTCTAATCTCTCTGCCTTTTTATAAAGAAATCAAATTTCCACATGTAATAAGGCATGTTCAAACTTCAAGCTCTTTAAATTGCCTCTCACAAGTAATTAAAAGATCATCACCATCACAAATTTAATCCCTGAGATATAATTTCTAAAGAATGAAATATACATTACTTACATTCTAAAATGTAACAAAAACTAAATTTAAATACAAAAATTTATGATTTCCTTTAAAAAGAAGAGCTTGATTTTCCCAGTAGGCTCACTGGATTTGCAGATTTCTTTTTAAGACAACAAACTGTAGAGTACATTTCCTGAGTAAACACTGTGGATTAAGGGCATTTTCTCTTATTTTCCCACTTGGATAACTGAATCTTAATAAAACTACAATATGTCTTGGCCACTCTATAGTTAGAAAATAAAAGCCTCCACTGGGCTTGGGTCCCCATATACATTTATTTCATAAATAATATGGACAACAATGACTTTTCACCATTTTTTCCCTATGTGAATCTCAAAATGATAATTTCATTTATACATAGCAAAAAGTTCAAAAAAACCTTTAAGCACTGTTAATATTTTCACATTTGTTTGTGGACATAGAGTTAGTTGATTTTCTTCTGATTTCTTCCATTTTTGGAATCCCACATGATTATAATGTTAAAGTATACCAAGAAGAACAGGAAGTTCAAGCAGGATACGAAACAAATCAATACAGAAAATAAGTCCGGTAATTTCTGAGGAGGTTCCAGTGTGATAGTTGTCAGTGTCAGAAGTACCATAGTGATGACTGAGATAAGAAACTATAAGGAGGGAAAAAAACATTACTGAGTAATATAAAAGATAAAATTTAAATGTACTGGTAATATTTACTTATAGCTGTAAGTGAGCAGAATTGAAGGTGAGGGGTGGGGGTCCAGTCTCTTCTACTGGTGGATCTCAACCTAGGCCACATGTTAGAATCATCTGGGGGGTAGGTATAAAAATCTCAATGCCAGGCCACACTTCAGACCAATTAAATCAGAGTTTCTGGGGTAGGCCTCGGGATTTAAAAGCTTTCCACGTGATTCCCGTGTGTAGCCAAAGCCTAAGAACCCCTATCATACTTAATACCACCCAAGTACTAAAGAAAGTTATCCGAAACAGATAATATTGCTAGTCAGGGTTAAATTCAGGGTATGCTCCAGGGTCTTGAGTCCCTACAGGATATAAAGTTCTAAGCTAATCTCAGAACTTGTCTATAAAAAAGCCTTCCATGGCAAATAGAAAATTATATGTAATATTCATGGAACACTTTCAATGAGCTAATGCTGCAGTAAGTCATGGTGGAGCATATGAAAGAAAATGTAATCTGGCCTCAAGAGTTTTCCATTTGATTAGGGGAATACATGAACTAATTAAATAAAATCACAAGGTCACATTTTATTAAATGCCAAAGTGAATAGTAAAAATACTTCATTTATTGTAATTGTATAGCAGTCAGTTTTCTTTAGACTAGTGCACTGTACAACAGAACTTTCTGCAATGATGGAAATGTTCTATACCGGTGTACATCAAAAGAGTAACTGCTAACTACATGTGGCCATTGAGCATTCAAAACATGCCTATTGTGACTGAGCTGAATTTTTTATTTAATTTTACTAAGTTTAAATTTTTAATGTGTCTAGTGGTTATTGTATTGGACAGTTTTTTTTTAAGATTTACTTATTTATTATTTGAGAGAGAGAGAGAGCACGTGCACAGAGGAGAGGAGGAGGGGAAGATGGAAGAGAACCTCAAGCAGGCTCCCTCCTGAGCAGGGAGCCCCATGCAGGGCTCGATCCCAGGACCCTGCGATCATTACCTGAGCCGAAATCGAGAGTCAGATGTCTAACCGAATGAGCCACCTGGGCGCCCCTTCCATATTGGACAGTTTAGCTCTAGACTGTGAGCTCCTTTAAGACAAGGACCAGCCAGATCTTAAGTCATTTTACCCTGGCATAGCACCTAAGTACACAGAAGCTGCTTAAGTAAATGTAGAAAGCAAGCAGTGAGAAATCATAGTGACTTTCATGAAGGATGTGGGACATAAATGGAACCCTAAAAGATGTTTTAATGGCTATATTATAACAGGATTTAAAAACCTGAATAGAGTAATGCAGTGCTCATTCCAGATGGAAGCCTGGGAAGGATAGTAACCAAAACTGACAAACAGGTATAAACAGGCCGCAAATATCCTCCAAAGGGAAAATCCCTGTCAACCTTAGTGAAAAGTAAAAACTTCTGAAGTAAAATCATCAAATTTAAAGTTTCAAACTTAAGGGGCATATGGCATGGCTCAGTTAAGCGTCCGACTCTTGGTTTTGGCTCAGGTCATGATCTCAGGGTTGTGAGACCGAGCCTTGAATCGGGCTCTACACTCAGCGCAGAGTTTGAGATTCTTTCCCCCTCCCTCTCCCTCTCCCTTCCCCTCTGCTCCCTCCCCCCTTAAATAAAGAAAATCTTAAAAAGAAGAAAGTTTCAAATAAGAAATATGGGACTGGTTGAAATGTCATGACACTATGATCCTGAATCAGTGTTAAGGGGCATGTTAAAATTCCTCCTACTTTATTTTTTTTTATTTTAAAGATTTTATTTATTCATTTGAAAGAGAGAGAGAGCACGAGTGGGGTGAGGGACAGAGGGAGAAG